TCCTATGGTACAAGGGATTGTAAAACTTCCTGGGTCTCCTAGTTTAGGAGGTATCTTACTAAGAAGATATTGACTGCTCTCTTGTGTAAGAGCAACAGTCTCAAACTCTTCTAGCCTCCTTTTTCTTGAAAGAATTTCTTTCATGAACTTTACATAAGAGGGCATTTGTTCCAATGCATCAACAAATGGAATGTTGACATGCAACTGTTTTAGGAGGTCTAGAAATTTCCTAAACTGATTATCTTGCTTCTGCTTTTGCAACCTTTGAGGGTTTTTCAATGGAATTATTCCCTAAAGGCTCATCTATAGAGGGCTGAGTGTCTGATTCGACCAAAATGGGTAAAGAGTTATTGTGCACAACCCCTTGGGGGCTATTATGAACAACAGAATTCTGAACAGGTTCAGAATTTGCATCCTTTTCTTTCTGCATGTTCTCCCCTTCTTTTTTTTTTTAATGTGGAAGGTCTAACCACAGCTTCTGGCTGATTTACAGATCTGCCATTTCTAAGCTCTATCATATTGCATTGCTCTTTATTTCTCCTAGGCTCTTCAGTGTTACTAGGCAAGGTACCAGGAGGTCTGGTATTCATAGTGTTTGCTAAATGGCCTAGTTGGGATTCTATGTTCCTTAGGGATGCTGGAATACTTTGCACAACAGCTTCCAAGCTATTTTGCTTGGTCTCATTCTTAACCAAATATTCCCTTAACAAAGCTTCTAAAGAAGAGGATGGAGCAATAGGCATCTCACTAGGTTGAACAACAGCTTGCTGCCTTGAAGTTTGTTGGTAATTCTGGGTAGGAAAAGGTATTTTTGTTTGGGCATTAGAAGGACCAGCTTGCTGCCCCTGCCCTTGAAAATATTGAGGCTGTTGGTTCTGCCTCCATCCCTGGTTAAAGTTATTGGGAAAAATATTTTGGTTTCTATTTTGGTTTCCCACATAAAACACAGATTCTGGGTTGGATGGGCAGCTATCATACAAATGGGGCCCACCACAGCAAACACAAGTTACACTTGTGTTTATTGCATTAACTTGAGGTTGGGTCACAGGTATTTGAGGTGCAGGAACTTGGGATTGGGATAATCTTGCCTCAATGGTTTGTCCTTGGGTTCTCACTAAATTGGACAGTGCATCAAACTTGGCTGAAAGAGCTGTTACAGGGTCTATCTCATGTAAACCAGCCACTCTCCTTGGCTGATTTCTCTCTTCAGGCCATTGGGCATAATTTTGAGTCATTTGTTCTAACAACTCATGGGCTTGGTTAAAGGACATAGTCATAAACATGCCATTAGCAGCAGAATCTGCCAAGGCCCTGTTTTGAGTATTTAGGCCATTGTACAGGGTTTGTAACACTGCCCAAGAGGGCAAACCATGATTTGGGCATTGCTTAAGAAGGTTCTTGTACCTCTCCCACACATCCACTAGTGTCTCTCCATCCCTCTGCATGAAGTTAGCAATATCACCTCTAGTTTGCACTATCTTATTAGAGGGGAAAAATTTCATAATGAATTTCTCAGCAAGGGTGTGCCAATTGGTTATAGAGTTGGATGGAAGGGAGTTCAACCATTCTTTGGCTTTGTCAGCCAGTGAATGAGGGAAGAGCTTCAATCTTAACACATCATCCGAGATGTTAGGATTCCTAAAAGTGTTGGCCACTTCTATGAAATTTCTAAGGTGCTTGTGTGGGTCTTCCATCAACAACCCATGAAACTGCCCCATGTTTTGAAGCATGGTGAACATCACCGGTTCTAATTTGAAGGGCACTCCATTCACAGGTTGGGCGATGCTTGGATCTAACTCATCCAACACAGGTATGATGAAGTCCATCATGGACCTATCATTATCATTTATAACAGGTGGTTCCCTTATCCTTGCAGGTCCTCCTACCCCATCATTCCCATTTACACTTCCTAAATCCTCCATTTCTTCAATTTCTAGAAGTGGAATTTGCCTATGTGCTATCTGGGCTCTTCTCCTAACTCTAAATGTCCTCTCAGGTTCAGGGTCAATTGAATATATGAACGGGTGTGGAGTTGCACTCATGCACCCCTTTTAACTAAAACAGGTAAACCTGACTTAGCTAAAACACCTAGATTACTAACCAACTTTTATGCAGAACAAGCAAAAAATAAACACACAAGAACCTGCAAGCAGAAAAGTCCCAAGACAGTTCACAGCCTGACGGCTTTATAAGGCAGTAACAACTCACCCTCACACAGGGTGGAACTAATAATTAAAATAAAAATAAAAAAAATTAAATGACATACAATAAACAGAATATGAACAGAACAAATTTTAAACTACCAATATTCAAGATACTATAGAACTAATAACTAAACAAACTGAAAAAGAATTCAAATGAGCTACACTAAAAACAGCAAACAGAAGCAGTTCAAGAATAGCAATCACACAGAAATCTGATCATATACGCCTCGATCCCCGGCAACGGCGCCAAAAACTTGTTGCCTTGCTAACAGTTGTGCAAGTAATGCGCGCAAGTATACGCGACAACAAGTAATATAGGGCTGTTATAAGTCCCAGATATCGTTCCCACAAGGATCGTTGGCGTTTTGAAATGACTAAAATTTGTAATTGCTTAAAACTGAGTTACTATTTGAAAATAAAAGAAATAAAAAATTGTAAGGTTAGAATAATCTAGAATTGATCTAAAATACTACTGTTCACTTTTCTTTTAAAATTTTTCTGAATTACTTTCCTAAGTTATAAAATAAGGAGTAAGAATGAAGCAAATTAAATGACAGATGTGACAAAAATTTTGTAAAAATTGGAAACAAAATAAAGATTGAAATATGAAATAACAAAGGAAAATAGAAAATCTGAGTTGATAAAGAGGTTTAAAAAGGTGGGTTGAGTTTTGGTTCTCCTTCCCCACAGTGCTTGAAAAATAATTTGATTAACAAAAAGCTCATTCTAAGATTCTCAGTTAACAGGACTGTATTGTTAATTTTTAATCTCTTAAAAATTATTTTATCCCAAAGTTGCCCACTTCCATATCTCTATGCCAAGTGGGATTAGGACTCTTGAGATTCAGGTCCAATATTACATGAGGACTCATTCATTTCTGAATTGAGATCCCTTAGATGATTTCTCATCTAAGTCCATGTGTCTAATGCAGAATCCAGAATTAGTTGTTTCTCAACAACTAAATCCTAACCAAACCTCTGACATTTGGCCAAAATGCAGATAATTTTAAACATTAAAAAAAGCATTAAACAACTGAGATATAAACCTTAAAACCAGGAAATCAAATATTTGACAAGCACTGAGGTTTGGGTATCACCCTAACCCAACCTCTAAAAAGTTAGCCACTATCCATATGGATGAGGCTTACTCACAGTAACAGAGAACTACAGAAATCACAAAATAAAAATTCTAAAAACTAAAATTATAGCACTGGCCTAACAACCGGCAATCTCAGTGCTGTAAAGACATGCATCAAGTTCATCAAATGAACCAGAATCTCATTACAAAACAGAAATTAAAAGAAAATAAAAATTGTTCAGAAAACAAAAGCTAAGAAAAACGATAAATCAGAAATCAGGAGTGGGAAGAAGGGGCCCTTTTGACTCACTCCTCTTTCCCTTTTTATAGGGTTCCTTTCCTTCTTTGCGCGATTTTCCTCTCCAGCTCAGCAGGTATACACGCGCTCCTTGCGCGTTACACACCGGTGGTCCCCAACAGCTCCCTCCTCAGACAATCTAAATGGATTGTTGCTCCTGCACCCCGTACGTAAACTTGTGCCCAAAAATCGCTCAGCCTTACTCTCGAAAAGTATCCAGCTCACCACTCAGTAACGGTTTTCCTTTGTCCTTTTTCTAACTCAAGATAGTGGCTAGGTTCTGGTTGTTTGTGAAATTGTGCGGTTTGGTGTGTCAATCGGGTAGAAAGGGTGCAAACGATGGAGATGGGTTGCATGAGGGTTAGGGCTCGGTCAGAGAGAAAAGGCGTTAGGGTTTGCAAGTCTCAGTTTTTATTTCTTTTTTTTACGCTGCTGATTTGTGACAAGGCTGCTTAATTTTCTTTCAACCTCTTCCTTTTCTTCAATTTGGGCCTCTGACTTGCCTTGTAAAAGAGTGGCCCAATCTGTTTCTTTTGCTCTCTTTTTTCTATTATTTCCTTTCTCTTTCCTTTACTTTTCTTTCTTTCCTTGGGCTGTATCACAAGTGGGCCTGAAGAATGCAAATAAAAACCCATTAGCACTTAAATCAGAATCATTCATCTTAATGCAATTTGGGGTATCTATTAACACAAAGTGTATTCTTTTTTTTACATTTTCATATTAAAAACCATACATTGTAAGTATTATTTCATGGACTTATCAGGCTCCACCAAGCACTTGATTTTGTATTAAGTCTAAAAAACTCATTTAAATGTCAAACCTTCAAATGATATAAGGACATATATAATCAAACCAAAAATGAGCAGATGGGAAACATCATATTCACATCCACGTACAAGTTCAAAAGGGAGCATGCTTTAGAAGCATATGACCGAGTGAATTTCAAGTTCATAATCATAATGACATGCACAAATGTGACATATGCACAAACATTACTTGTTTGATCTCTTCAGGAGTATCACTTTGAGATTTTATTTCATTTCCTCAAAATACAAAATTGTTTATGTACTTTAAATTTATTAGTCATTATATTCACATTATGTCTTTCAGTCGCATAATAATATTTGTATGCAAATTAATTATTGTTTGAACTTCAAGCTACAATCATTTGGGCATATAACTAAATGGATAATTCATTAAGAGAAAATGAGAAGAGAAAGCAAGAGATAAGAGACACAAAAGTCGGGTAGAATACTGATTCTCATTCATACACATTCCTATAAGAGTCATGTCCTTATATAGGACTTTATACATCAATCAGGGAGTAATTATATTTCAATACACCATTAGCGTAATGGTTACAAAGTATATCAAAAGTCATAATCATGGGAAAGTCAAAGGTCATCAAAATATTTAACAATGGTTACTAACTAAATAATTATGACAATTTACGATCAAAGAATACGAGGAAAGCTAACTAACAATAAATATTTATAAATCAAAAAATTACATTAGAGAACATATGCTAATTAACATCAATAACATACTAATTTAACAAGATAACATTAGTGAACATAAGCATTTTATAAGTAATATATTCTCTTTTTAAATTGATTATTATCATGTTTATTATTTATTTTGTACATTTCTTAACTAACACAAATAAATATATTTACAAATAATGTATAACATGACCATTTTTTCGAAATTGACTTAATAAATACTTTATTTGATTAAATACTTTTAATAGTCTTGCTCTTTGTCGAATTATCATTGATTATATTAAAGAGAATCTTTCAATCATTCTCGATAAAATCTCATACTTAACGAACAAAATCGTTACTCCTTACTCAATTGTATTATTGATATATAGTTGCTTTTATTAGGTCAGCCTTGTCGGATCATCATCAATTCTGGAAAAGAGAAACTTTGGCAAATTATCATTAACTTCGTAAAAGAATATTTTTGACGGATCATCATCGAATCCATAAAAAAAAATTGGACCGTTTTCTATTACAATTATTCATATTTTTTTAAAATTATGTTCTTATATAAGCATGTGTTGTTAGTTTCACACATAATTTTGTATAAATGATTTCACATTTAGTCACTTATGAGACTAATCTAAGAATTCAAATTGAGTAGAATCAAGCCACAAAATTTCACATTTAATTTTTCAACATAGGTGCATACACATATTTTTATAGGTTTGCTTTTTCTGCAGTGAATGCAGATACGTTATATGCATTGAGCTCAAAATAACATCGTTTTGTGATAAAAGTCAAAGTATTTTTATAATTATGATTTATTCTAAGGTTATAATAGTCTTTATTATTATAACTTTTTAATCTTTCAACACAAAACGACATTATTTTGAAAGTGAATATAAATAATTTATCTGTATTCACTATAGAAACATTAAGACCTATTTTTATATTACATGATATTAGTTTTCATATTTTTAATGATTAAATTTACTCATAAAAAAACAAAAAGAAATAAAATAAGAACTTCAAATATTATTTTAAGAAGAGTCTAAGAACAACCTTAAATTGGTAAACAATAAAAAACTATAACTTTAAAAATCTTTTGTTTTCTAGTATATGAAGTGACCCCACTTCAACGAGGCCCCACAATCTCTTTTCTTTCAGTCTTGAACCTTCTTTCTTCTCTGATTCTCCTTACTTCACTCTTATCTCTTTCTCTCTCTTACCACTATAAATTACCAACAAAGAAAACAACTTTTCTCACACACTTTTCACTGTGTCACTCTCCCTCTCTTCCATCCCTCCCCATGGCGGAACATGGCATCACAATGTCACTCTCCTCCGACGACGACTCCTCAGACCACGACATACCCCACACAATCACCCCAATAGGAGCAAGCGGCGGTTCCTCCTCTCACCGGAATCCGCCTATCCCCGTCGGGTACCACCTCGCGAATGTCATAACACCGCCGTCAAAGAAACCCCGAGGCAGGCCACCCGGTTCAAAGAACAAGCCAAAGCCACCGCTCGTGATAACCCAAGACAACGAGCAAGCAATGAAAGCGATGATCATCGAGATCCCCGCCGGCGCCGACGTGGTGGAGACGTTGGTCCAGTTCGCCCACCGCCGCCACGTGGGAATAACGATCCTAAGTGCTTCAGGTTCAGTTTCCAATGTTACCCTTTGTCACCCTCTTTCACATTCCCCTGCTTTCACTCTCCATGGACCCTTCACCTTGATGGCTCTCACTGGCACTTATATAAATGCTCCTCCACCACAACAACAACCACCTCTTCCTCTTCTTGCTGCTGCTTCATCATCTTCTTCATCTTCATCAATCCCTCTCCCCTCTTGGCCACATTGTTCTTCCTTTGGTATTTACCTCAATGGAAATCAGGGTCAGATCTTCGGTGGAATCATTGCTGGGAAGGTTTTGGCTCACTCTGCTGTTACTTTGGTGGCTTCTGTGTTCAAGAACCCTGAGTTTCACAAGCTTGGTGGTGTCAATGATGGTGGAGATGGTGATAACAACCCTAATGAACAAGGAGGGAATGATGGCATTTCTGGTTTCCATGTTGCAAGTCCCAACCCAATGAATTCCCCTGGTGATGTCAACGCGATGCAAATGCAATGGGGGGGCCATGGTCACCCCTCCAGTCGCCCTGCTAATTACTGAAGACAAAGAAATATCTCTCTACAAATGGGTCATCTTTTTTAATTAATCTTTTTTTTTTTAAATGGCTCTGGTCCTTACTTTACTAAAATTGTGTAGGGGGAACTGTTAATTAGTCAGTTATTACAGTGTATCACAGAGCTGAAATAATAGTCTTGTCTATCTTTGCTGGTCTTTTTTTAAGTTTGTTGAAAAGTTATATGTAAGTATGACTATTTTAATATAACTTATTATCTTCTCCTTTTTTTCTTTTCTCTTTTTTATTTTCATGCCTTTCAGAGTAAGAAAGATTATGAGTTATAAATATATTCAATGTGGGTACATTAATAATTGTTCTTTATTTTTTTTATTTGAAAATTTATTAGTTGTTTTTCAAGGGGCATGTCTCTTTCTATCTCTCTGTCTCTCTCCTTGTTGAAGGTACAACTGAGTTTTGCTTTGATGCTGCTAATGCCAATGTGACAGAGTTGTGCGGTTCTGGAATTTTTCATGCATACAATCTTAGAGGATCTGCTTCTTCTGTTTCCTCGGGAAGGACCCAATTTACTATCTCCAATGCTGAGCATGGAGACAAAATAGAGAGAAAGAAGCCAAGTTCCAAGTCCATGATGCTATGAAGGAACACAATAGATTCATGTGTGGACTACATTACTCTATCCATGCCCAATTACAGTTACTTTTACCTTTCATTGAATTAGGTCGATGGAAATTATATTTTTAATTTTTTAGTCCTTTTTTTCAAACACATCCTTGCATAACTTCGGTTATAAAGTAGCCATGCATTGAATAAAATCTTACGTTGGCATTGATGCATTCCGAGGTAGGCTATAATCAGAATATTACAATACACTTGTTTGAATAATAATATTTTTTTGTTGTGCGTGTTTGTAGTTATTTGTTAACCAATTTAGGTTACTATTTTTTATATTATATAATTTATTTCATATCATATTATTTCTTATTTTTTATCAAGAAAATATAGACCTTTGCACCATTTCGGTTATAAAGTGATCATGCATTGAATAAATTCTTTTGATGCAACTGAGGGAGGTTATAACCTGAGTACTACAATATATTTGTTTGAGTTATATACATGGGTTTTATGTTTATCATGTAACATGATATAACATCACTTTCTTACACACACATTAAAGAAGTGGAGTTCACATGTTTTTCTTTCTCTTTTATCATTCTACTTTCTCTCTCCATTTTTGTATGTGTGTTGGAAACAACACTTAAATCATGTAACATAACACTAATAAAATCCTATATATATATGGAAAAAATATTTCTATAGTCACTTTAGATAAAATTATTTACAACTACCATTTATAACTATGTTTTCCCGAAGAACATAGTTATAACATTAAAGTTGCTTTTTTCTCTCTTCCCATGTCAGCAAACAAGTTTCGAAAAGTAACTGAGGAGAGAAAAAAAAAAGTAACTTTAATGTTATAACTATGTTCTCCAGGAGAACATAGTTATAAATGATAGTTGCAGATAACTTTATCTAAAGTGGCTGTAGAAATGTTTACCCCTATATATATATATAGGTTATATTTATCCATGTTACATAAGAGAAGTCAATTTCCTATATACACAAAAGAGAGGTGGGTCTCACCTCTATTTTTTTCTCTCCTTTTATCTATGGGTCCCGCTTATAATTTTGTTTCTACTACATGAGAGAAATTTTTTCTACAACATAAGAAAACTATTTCCGTACATATATATATATATATATATATATATATATATATATATATATATATATATATATATATATATATATTGGGATAAACTATCCTACCTATCTTTTTTTCTGCTTATCTTTGTCTAGCACTCTCCAATATCATTAAAGGGATAAATTATTCTACTTACCATTTTTTCTGCCTATCTTTGCCTACCATTCTAAAATACCGTTAGATCAGAATCTTAACTAACATTTATTTTTCTCTCTCTTCTTAAGATTCTGATCTAACGGTGTTGGAGGGTGATAAGCAAAGGTAGTCAGAAAAAATGGTAAGTAGAATAAACTATCCCATCATTAAATTAGAATCTCAATTACTTCTATCATTTATATATATCTATATTGGGATAAGTTATTTTATTTATCTTTTTTTCTGTCCACATTTGCCTACTATTCTCTAACAGTACTAAATTAGAATCTCAACTACATCTAACATTTTTTTCTCCTATTGAAATTTTGATTTAATAATATTAAAAAAATGATAAATAAAGATAGCCAGAAAAAGAGTCGGATAGAATAACATATCGCTTATATATTTATATTTATATTTACATAAGCAGTAGTAAAATGTTCAAATAAGTTATGTGGGTTTATGGATTGTGTACGTCCCACCCTCTCCACTCAAATTTAATGGGAAGTGATTTTTTTAGCTATTTAATAACTAGTCTACGCTATTAATTTTTTAAAATATTTGTTGAATACCACAACATCTATTATTATATATTTTATGGGTTCGCTTTTTCTACAGTCAAAACGACGTCGTTTTGAGACAGAAATTAAAGTATTTTGGTAATTATAATTTATTTTAAGGTTATAATAGTCTTTTTCATTATATTTTTTTAATTTTTCAACCTAAAACGACGTTATTTTAGGAGCGAATATAGATAACTTATCTACGTTTATTTTAGAAACATTAAAGCCATATTTTATATTGTGCATTAATTGTGTGTTAATTTCTGTTTATCATTGAGTTATTTTGTTGAGTATTTATAATTTTAAACAATCAAATAAAATAGAGGTAGGATTCTTTGACACCGGTGTCAAATTTCAATTTTGACACCTCATCTCAGAACTGTTAGATCAAACAAAATCAATGACTCTGATTTGCAAACATGTGATACCATTGATCTTTTTTGATCTAACAGCTCTGAGATGAGGTGTCAAAATTAAAATTTGACATCGGTGTCAAAAGATCCTACCTCAATAAAATATAATTTTTTATATTATATTCTTATTTGTTTTACCTAAAAACAGACGCTTTCATTATTTCAGTTATACAGTTATCATGCATTGGATAAAATCTAACGCTGGCTTTGATGCGTAACGAGGGAGGCTATAATACAGGACGATTGTTTGCGTTATAATAATATTTTATTTTATTTCTTTGCGTTTGATAGATTAATATAATTTTTTTTTTTTATAAACTATACTATCCTTTACATGAGACAATTTTGTTTGACCCAAGAATATTCACATCATAGTAGGGCTAACTCTTCCAAATAAAATTTTTCACATTCACAAATATTTGAATCCAATACCTTATTTAAGAGAAATCAAACATGTACTACTTGAACCAATCTCATTTGATAGTAACATAAAAATTATTATAATTCTGTATAAAAAATAATTTTGTGTATATTGATTTTTCTTAATTATTAAGTTATTTTGTTGACTACTTATATTATTTAAATAATAAAATAAAATCTAATTTATTTTCTATTATGTTTTATAGGATTATTGCTTCTTATATTGTATGAGATAATTTTATCTCCTACTCATATATCAAAGTGATTATACCATATTTTTTTCTCTTGTCTTCACATTATCTCACGTGAACCCCCACACACTTTTATGTATTTGTAAGAGATAATTTTATCTCCTATAAAAATGAGAAACATTAATCCCATGTTTTATTTACCAAATCAAATCAACCCTTAAACTCCTTATTTTACATCTGTCTCCAACTTCTATCTTCTCCCATTCATGACGCAGAATTTGGATGTGCCTAAATAACAAAAGGCTTTGATTTAAGCTATGGAATAGGACATTAAGGTTTTTAATACATTCAAATACCTTTACAATGAATTAAAAATTCAATATTTACATTAATTTCAATCTTATTATTTATGACTAATTGCGTGAATAAAGATTATGTTGCAATGCCACCTTAGCTTAAACAAAATGATTGGAAGTATTTGCTGCCAAAATTAATGGCTGGAGTTTGCCTACTTAGAACTAGCCACGTTTGTAAACCAAATGTTTTTGTGCTGTGAAAAAACAATAGATTGATTTTTTTTATCCATTTATATAAAATATTTTACATATTACTTCATGAGAAATGATATTCTTACTACCAAAATTTTTCACTACAAACTTACAACTTATCTAATCACCATTGAATCAAAGAGAGAGAATGTTAAAAAGTTTTTGAAAAAAGAGAAAATATTGATCCAATGATGATTAGATAGGTAGTGAGTTAATAATAAAAAAATTTGGTAGTAAGAATATCTCTCCTCTTACTTCATAATACTTTAGAGAAAAGGTTTGACTGTAACAAATATTCTACAAGTTAAACTCATAATGACTAAAAACTTATTTAATCGGTAATGAATTTTATACTGATAGGTCAAAATAAATTTTAAATTCAACTCTCTACTGTAATTTATATATATATATATATATATATATATATATAATGTTTTTTTAGATATATTGATCATAATTATCTCTTTGAGGCGAGTCAGCCGCCGAGTATACTCATAAACTTCAACTCTTTGAGTTGATGCTCACTAAACACATCTTTGTCAAAGGATGATGAGCTTTGTAACACCCCGTATATATCCGGTAATGTTATCATAATATCGTATTACGCTGCGCTTAATTAAAATGCGGAATTACTTTTTCTTTTTAATTATGATGCCATTAACATTACCAACTTGCTTAATAATCAATTAATAAAACATCGCCTGTATGTAATTGCAATAAAACAGCTAACTGAAATACCTCATAACATAGATAATATAAGTGTGGCTCTAGTCACGGAACTACAACAATGTAGACCGGACCATCTAACAGTTTATACAACTCCAATCTAAAAGTACTAACAGAAAATGTCATGGACAATCCCCATGCTCACTCAAATAAGGCAACATGTCCAACATCAGTCTCAACAACAACAACATAATGATAAAAGGCATAAAACATAATCAACATCAATATCTAGTCATGCTAACAATTAAGCAGAAACAACATAATC